CAGTCGATTGGGTCGAGGAGAGCGGCAGCAGACATGCCGAGGATCAGGGAAGAGGTCACGATGTTCGAGTCCGCCCACGCGTAGCTCTTCTCTCGCACGTTTTCGCCGTTGGTCAGATAGCGCCTCGTCAAGCACCAAGAGGGCGTGTTTGGCAGCGCTGGGCGCTCGTCGGCCTGCGCCGTGTCGCGTAGGCTCCTGAGAATGCGAACACGGTCGCCAACAGACGCGCCCGGGAGCAGCTCGCGCATCTCTGCGAGCGTGAGCTCGGCTGCCATGTCGGCGGTGACGCCCGCCGATCGCAGCGCACTGGCGTGTTGCGCGGCAGTGTCGCTGTCAAAGTGGCCGGTCAGGTACGCACCCACGCCCGCCGCTTGCTTCTTGCGCCTCAGCTTGCGCAGCATTGGAGGGCAATTCGACCGTGTAGAGGGTCAAAGGAGAGCAAGCAGAGGGCACTGCCCTCCCTCCCTCCCCGCCCGACCCCCCTATGGGGTGTGGGGTTACACTTGGGAAAGGCTGCTTCGCAAAACGAGAAAACTGACTCGCGCTAATTTTCCATGCGAGCTTTCCTGGCGTCTCCAGCGCTCACATGCCAAAAGGCACCTCGCAGCGCGCGAGACGTGACCGGAGCGGTACGCCTCGGCGCCGCGAGAGCAGCCGGTCGGCGTGGGCACCAAGCGCGCGGCCGCCGGGCGCCTTCGCACCGGGCGCCGCGGCAGCAAAGAGCACTCCAAATACCGTTTTTATGGCGGGTAGCACTGGCTCAATAACAAGGCTGTGAATAGCAGGCGTGGTGCTGCTGTCGCCGCGGTGCTGCTGCTGCTCGCTGCCCGTAAATCTACGTGAATGTACCTCCTGGCGTACTCTGGCTACGCCAGCGGCCTCGTCGTGCAGCCCGCGGCCTCGCCCTGCGCATGCCCGGCCGGGCGCGCATGCCCGGCCGCCGCCCGGCAGACCGCGAGGAGGATGGCGGCTCCGCGGGCGGATGCCATCGGCGATGCAGCGTACTCGCTGAGCGCTCTCGCCGTGGTCGGGCTGGTGGGCCGCAGCGTGTTCGACACCGTCTTCATCGAGAACGACGCGACGGTGCCAAACAAGCCGAGGATGTCGCTGCCGAGCCTCTTTGGGCGCGAGGAGCAGGACCCGACGGTGGAGGCTGAGCGGATCCGGCAGCGCCTGCAGGCAGCCGCTGAGGCGGGCGACCTCGAGGCGGCGTGGCGCCTGGAGAAGGAGCTCAAGCAGTTCCTGTGGGACAACAACGTCGTGTACGAGATCGACGTCGAGCCAGAGCGGCGCGGTTTGCGGATTGAGGACATGGAGAGCGCGGCTGGGAGCGGGGTCATCCAGAGCGAGAATCAGGCGGAGCGGGACCAGATGCTTCGCGATCTGGAGTAGCGAGCACGGCGCTGCGCGTGCCGTGAACGTGCCCGGGGACTAAAATCCCCACCCGCTGTCCCCGCGGGTTAACTCCCCGCTCAGTGACGTTTTTCGAGAGGAGTAGCGAGTACCGACCAAATCGTGTCCAAAAAATCCCGCCTGGTCTGGACGGTTCTTTTCGCGGTATCCGCGGCGGGATATGGCGGGATACCGGGAGATACCGCATACATCGAGATTTCTGGAGCAGCAGACTAATCGCTTCCAGGGGGGGGGCGCGCTTC